ACGATTACGATTGGTTATGGATGGTAAGGTCATATGGCAGTTGTACCCATAGAGTTATCCCCAAGTTTGAGGTGGGTTTTAACTTCTACTGTGGTTAGACTTAAATTGATTTATAGACAAAAATGTATTGGCAAGAAGCTTCAAAATAATGTTGAAGAAATGTTTAAAAAATGGGGTGAAAAAGAATAAGGGAAAGGGAATGAAGATGAAGGGTGATGAGTTGTTCTTCCCAAAAGGAAATTTCTTTCAGTCAGTGTCCATATTATATGTTCTGTGAGGGCAGAAAATGAGTTGTGGGAAGAGGAAGAAAGGAATCCCTCAGAAGATTTAACAAGGCTTTCTGATGGGGCCAGAGGTCTGCCCATGAATAATACATGAGGCCTGAGAGAGGAAGAAGAACAGACATTTTGGTTCTGTTAGATCAGGTGGTCTAAGGGGAAAGTAGGCATGTGGCTCTGATGGGTCTGCAGTTTTACTGGCTTGGCCAGTGGAGGTTTTAACCTCCTCTGCATTGCCCAGCTTTTGCACTCGGAGCTTCAGTCCAGTGCACCATGGACCCATGGGACATAACTGCCCTGAAGACCTTTCTTAATACTTTGGCCTTAACTTATAGTGTAAGGTTGATGGTTTTTACTGCCTGGGTGGTTGCTGTTTGAAGAAATGAATGAACAGTGTTGAGGGCTCTGTGTTGGTTGGAGCAAGGGGCTCTGGTGGTTCATTTAAACCCCCAGTGTATGTCTGCTCTCAGTTACATTTGAAGGTCACAGCTACAGCTCCACTGCCAGTGCTTTAATACTGCCATTCTGGACTTAAGGGTCTTCCACACTGATTAGTTTTACCTCAGAAGGTAAGGCGTGTATATATGTGGATTTGTGTGTGTGTGTGTGTGTGTTAGGGATAATGGCACAGGAGTGGGGGGTATTCTGTTTGTTACTGTGAATGTTTGCTAGTGGTGACGTGTGCCTGCATGTACATCTGGATGTGTTGGCCTGTGCTATAATTCACATAGCCTCATTAAAATGCTGAAAGTTTTGGCTTTAATGTCACTGTGACCCCCGGTCTGCTGTAAAGACCAGGTCCTGCATACTGAGCAGAGCTCTGATTGATCTGCCTAAGTAGCTGCAATTAACAGAGACGTTCTTCGTCCAGAATCGGCCCTCTCCCCACCACACGCATGCAAACACCCACACATGAACAACGCATACATGGTCATCAGATGCTATATCTCAGTGCATTAATGCGCTGAACAGTGATTTAAAGCGTTTGATCCTAATGTGGAGCTAGTCACCTTTGACACCTAAACTCCGCCCATTACTGATTATGCATAGAGTAATTTGACACCTTGCCCCCTGAACAGAAAACCGATGACATGAAACGATGAATATAAAGCAGAAAAAAAGACCTATTCCGTTGGGAAAGGTTGCTGAATTGCCTGATGATGACGACCTTTGTTCAAAATCCTGAAAGGCATTAACAATTTAATGAGTCACATCATTATGGAAAGCATCTCTGTGTTAGTGTTACGTAAATGGATTTGGACTGGTCTTGCCTATTTTCCCCAGACCCTCAATCATAATATGACAGTGAAAAGACAAGTCTAAGCAACAAGGATTTGCAAATCTAACTTAAGATACCCATAAATTGGATGTTGCCTGTAAAGTTGTGCAACCATTAAACCATTGCAGCTCTTTTATGAATGTTGAAACATGCAGTGTAAATGGAAGTAAAAGAACAGCATCCAAACATAGCTGTTTTTCAGAAAGCTCTGTGTTTCAGTGTGTGGTTCACAGCTCAGTCCCTTCAGTCAAGAACACCACTGGCTGCCTCCATCACCTTGCCTTGCCGAAAATAAATTTCTTGGACAATCATCAAAAGTCTCACTCAGACATGGGAGCTTTGGGGCCTGGAAATGGAAACTGATTTAGCACTGCACTCTCAAGACAATTCCGCATAAAATCTAATATGGTCAGCCAGAGAGAGAGAGCAAGAAGGGTGAGGTGAAAAGGAACTATAGAAGTAGCCACAACACCCTTCAGGAGACCTCCATCAGCCAGCTCAGGACTTTTTCTGTTGCTCCCCCTGGTCACATTCACCCTAAAACTTTCATGTTTTCAGCACAAAAATGAGACAGGGAAAAGTAGAGGTGACACTGGGTCAAAGTTATATTTATGCTGGTCGGTGCATCCCTCATCCCGTATTTATTAATCACCTAATCCTTAATGGCATACTCATCAGTTCCTTATCCTCTGCCACTGCAGCTGTTTATCAGAATCTTAAGGCCTTCGTAAGCTTGTTTGTTGCTTGTTAATATGAGTTGATTCCAGCTCACATTTAATTCAAAAAGGTTTTCATTTGTCCCCATGGAGAAAAGGGGAGTAACTCAACACAACTGAACACAGCAGTTTGCATTAAAATCTTGGCGCTGGTGTTTGGTGTGTGCATGTAGGTAATGGGGATCATATACTGTAATTGATTGGTGTGAGATTTAGTACCTAGGATTTTAGCTGTCTCAGGACCAACTATGTGCTTAGACCCAGAGGTGATTCTGGCATCTCAACATCCTAGTAGCACCACTCCAAATGCATGTGCCAGACACTAGCCTCCTTAATGCTCCATCTTTCTCTTTCTCTCAAGTGATAAAACATCTCCTGAGGCATGCCGACTCACTTTATCAGTCTTGCACTTGCTGTTGTAAATCAAGGCCAGCGTTGTACGACATGGCTACGCATTTCTGCCTTATTTTCATCATAACATGCAGCCTCCAGGTCAAAGGAAGGAAAAAAATAATAATCTGATCAGATGAATAACTTTACTGTGCCCATGTTTAAAAATATATATAGAAAAAAGAAGAGAACATCAATAGAGAGTGTATGTGATTGAATTGATGTGAGACATTTATATTGTTTTCTTGGTTTACTTAGGTTACCCATTCATTATGCTTAAGAGAAACTAAGCCATAAGTCAGGGGTAGTAGTGGAATGTTCAGCGAATGAAATTGACACCCAAGAGCCAAGAGTTTAACATAAATGATGTAGTAACGTCCCTGCGCCTGTCTTGTTGGCAATCATGTTTTCTGGAAAGGCATATTAAGGGGGTATAAACTGTATGTTTAATTTTCTGTTCTTATACATTATCTATGTAAGAGTTTTGATAATACCTTAAGTCATTTCATGAAACTGTTAACATTGTTAACATTAGCAGTAGTACAGCCACTGGATAGTGCAATTTTGGAAGTTACCCCCAAAATATGCCCCAAAAACGGCCAAATTTGACAATTTTGCTTGAGCAAGTAGCAATAGGACGCAGGAGAAAACATCTTTTTCTACAGATTTTCTCGTTGTCCCATTTGTCCCTTGCGGTTTGTCCTTCCTGCGGCCCAACAGTCTTTTTTAAAAAAAAAAAAAGTTTTCCACTCTGTTTTCTCTCTCCCTCTGACCCTCTACGTGAGTTTGTGTTCAGCTTAACTGATAAGTTGAGCTGCTGTACAGTGAGGTGGTGGCCCCACTGCAGTGAGAACTGGCTTAAGAAATGGAAGGACTCTGTTTTCATGAAAATAAAAGATAATTTTGACCACATCCAGAAACCTACATGCTTTTAATTGATCCTAAGGGAGCTCTACAGTGCAGTCAATCACATATCCAAACACCCTGAAATATGTCTTCATAGTAGATCCCTGTCTTTTTTGGTTGGAGCTGTATGCCTAAGGCTGTTTTATTCTTGTGTCCCTGTGGCATCACTACACAGAAATGTTTTGGCCCTCAAAGAAGAGTAGTTATTAGCTTGCAAAATACGTCTCAAATGTCTTTTCCAGTGTCTTTCTCAGTTTTGATTAATTATTTAATACAATTTAGAATTTAGAATATAATTCACTTTCTTTACTGTGCAAGTTTTTTTCCCCATTGCTGTTAATGAGAGCTGGAGGTGTACCTCAGTGTGTATCTACTCTATAGAGTGAAGCAGAAACGCAGGTCGGGGAGATGAGGTGGACATAGTGGGAAAATGTAATTTACAGGTGGGGAAATGGAATTTATGCACATACTGCTCGTGTGTGTGTGTGAATGTGTGCGTGTGCCTGTGTTGGTGTGCATGGAGATGTGTGTCTCAAAGTGTGTCCCCAAATGACTTTGGCTTTAACAACTGAAGAAGTGCCTGGTAAGCTGCAGCCCTCATTAGCATACAGATCAGGAGGCACTATAAGTGTTTGTGAAGTATAATTCACTCTTGCTTTTTCAAAGCAATAAAATGAGTGTCCTTTCTCTGCAAATGCCAATGCTGGTGTTTCTTGGTCTCATTTTTTATTGGTTCACACAGTTTGGTTAAGAGTCATTAACATTACAGCTCCCCTTGAGTACCAGACCCTCCCTTTAATAGATCTTAAAGGTGAAGCATTTTAACATCTCTAAGTCCATTGCCACATTCATTTTGAAACAGTAGTATAATTACCATAAATAAACAAGACAATCACTGAGAAGACTGGCAGACTCTGTAATATACTGTCTGCCATTGGGCATGACTTTATTGGAAATCTGATGGATTGCATAATTGCTTTATGGCACAAAACAGAAGCACCAGCACACACAATCCTGTCTTACAATGGCAGTTGATTGAGTAAATAAAAGATGATAGAGAAATTACTTTCTATTTTCAGATAACCCTTCAACAAAACAGTGACAGGGAGAAATTATGTGTGCAGCAATTACAGTAATTAATAAGTTCAGATATGATATACCTAACATTTTGTACTCCTAGCTAGTGTGCATGAGGCTATTCCTTGTCAAACTAAACAAAAGAAGTGTAAAATAAGTCTGGGTCGATGTACTAAGGACATGTCTTTGTGCTTAGCCCTAGCCTTTAACCTTAAATACATTTCTGAGTGCACAGGTTATGCTAAATATTACTGTGGTTTGCAACCTGCTACTTTCGCATTTGCATGTGAAAACACTAATGTGCTAAAACGCTAATAATCAAAGGCACTCTTCTGTCTGTCTCTGTGTCCACAGGTTCACTGGCCCCAACCTCCCCTCACCCATCATTAGCAGCAAGAACTGGCTTAGACTGCACTTCACCTCTGATGGCAACCACAAGTTGAGAGGTTTCAGCGCCCAGTACCAAGGTAAGATAAAGAGAGCTTCGGATGTTTTAAAAGGACGATCATTAATCATTTACCATCACATCGAATCATCCACTATCTTGTGTCATGTTTAACTTTTATTTGAAATTTATTTGTAAAAATATCCCTGGCCCCCTAAGGATAAATCCTAATATTTATGGTGACCCAGTGAACTTTTCTCTAGTGCCAAAATCTTAATGTAGTTTGCACTTGTGTTCCAGAAATAGCACAAATCCGGTCACTGACAGCCCTGAGATGAAACATGTGTATTCCCTACAGGATCATCTCTCAAAATTTTGGACACTCCATGAGCTTTCCTCATAAAAGATTTAATATATCTCATAATGTGAGAGGCAGATTGACATGAAATTGCAAGTGTTGGAGACCTTAGTAAGACCCTGGTGCCTTTTGTTTTATTTTGCACCGCTGTCAACAGGGAAAAAATCAATATGTTTTAATGTCCAATAAAGAAAAAGATTGTCAGCATTCGTCTTGTTTCTAGTACAAATGAGCTTGCATTTCCTTAAATTATCATGATCTGTCTTATTAAGATTTTGCCAGTTTTTAAAGTGTGCTTGAAGCAAGTGAAATCATTTCACTAGAATAGTTGTGATTGCTTTCAGAATAACAAGATTTGCAGACTTATTATTCAAGTGTCACACAATTGCACAAGCACACACACACACACACACACACACACACACATAAAATCCTATCTCCCATATGTCCCTTTCCAGTCTGATTACTCATAAAGGGTCAGGGGTCAGCTTTTAGAAGGGATGAGCAGGGAAAAAATGATTAGTTCCTCCACAGAAAAGGTGATCTCTAAGGATCTCACTTCCAGCCATCAGCTGTTGGAAAATAAAAGAACAAGAGGGAGAAACTGAGGGATAAAGAATATGGAAAAGAAAAAGCATAAAGATAAACCTATTGGTTTACAGGTTCAGTGTTCAATAAATATGTTTATAAGATCAGAGAGAAATTGGAGACTAATACTTTAATTGGATTAAACACTGACTTCATCTCCTCCTTCCCCCACCAGCCATTCTCATAATGACATCTCCCATGATTCCACAGCAGCGGCATGTTGGAGTGATGAAATGACTGTTGATTGAAAATCTTCTTTGGCTCTATTTTTTTTTTTTCCTCTTCAGTGTCCTTCATTTTACAGAACGACCCCACCTATCAAACCCCACACCTTATAGCTTACTTCCCTTATTAGAAACATGATGATACCTTTTTTTCTCCCTTTTCTAATCAGGGTTACAAAACTGAAAAGAGCTTCTTTATTGTGATTTTTCTTCCAGACACTTAGTAAACAGACTTTTTGACACATGACTCAGTTTACCTTTGAATTACATTGCAGCTGAAACTGAGCAAAGGATAACAATCACATTTGTGCAAAACAAAGTTTCATTGTCAGGAACCGTCAAAATATTTAAATGGGATGAGTGTGATGGGGTGCACAAACAATGCTGATGGTGTTTTTGAAATTGATGAATAAATATGCATTTAGATGAGCCTCTTACTTTGCTATGATGGCTTTGTTTTTTATTTTCTGAAATTGAATAATTTTAAACCTCATCTTTTTATTGTATAGAAATTAGTGGTAACCCTCATATACCGTGCCTGCTAGTGCTAATAATCTAATGATAATATTCCCTGCACCCTTCTATCCACACAATTGCAATTATTTTCTTATTTGACAATTTTTGGCAAGACATTCTTGTTTAATTGCCTTGTAATGCTGCTGTGAATATAGTTGTAGTGGGTGTCAGAAATTGTGTATGGTACTGTATATATTATGTACTGTACTGCAGACATTTAGGCACTGCTGAAATGTGTGGGTGTCATTATTGCACTTATTGCTGTCTTATATGTCTCTGCTCTGTTTTTCTCCACAGTGAAGAAGATGACTGAACTTAAGTCTCGAGGTGTAAAGATGTTGCCTAGCAAAGACAACCACCACAAGATATCCGTGTGTAAGTTACAAGCCTCTACTGTCAACATTGTTCTTCAAATAACATGCAATACCAGTGCAATATGCTCCTGAGTTATCAAGGGAGAAAATAACTTGGTGTTATCTGTAAAAATATTAATTTGAAGAAAACTTCAATATACAATTGTGGACTGCGATGTACCTGGCACAGTGTGACAAAAAGCAAACCAGCTCTAATTTGGCGTCATCAAACAGAAAGCAAGCATTTTTTTCTTGCTTGAGAAGAGTGTCAATGGATGTACTTCTAATTATATCATGGGAATGTTTAAATCTGAACAAATGCAGATGCGAACAATGTCTTTTTCTACCTGGGTAAAATCCCTGCCAATGGCATCAAATGACATCAAACACTTGCCACCACTGCAACCTTTTTCTCACTGCACTGCAGACTGAAAACAGTGGCTCTCACGGTGTGAGTTGGCAGTACTGTTATAGGCATAACTATTTTTGCCTAAGGATACTGCTGCCTGTAGAGCTGCAGTAGGAACTGAACTTTCTATTTCATTGCACATTTACTTAAACAAGTGACTCCAGCCTCAGTACAAGAAAACAACAATCCTGACAGTGAATAATCCACCAGTCTTAAAATGGAACAACTGCTGTCTGCACAACTTGTATGTATATGTTTTGGAGAAGATACCAGACAGTCCCTTTTAGGTTTTCACCTGTCTAAACTGTTGTTCAAAGTCATGTAAAAGTTTTTTCTCTACTTCTTGGCTAGAGAACAGGGTGAATGCTGACTGTTGTAAGAGGTACAGACACAAAGGACACGCAGTCTGTGCTGGAGATGCAGTTCTAATAGCAAATGGACAGCAGTAATTGCATTGCCTACTCTTCTCATGATGGCAGGCAGTCTTCCTCGCCCTTGTCCTCTCTCACCGTCTTTCTGAGTTCACTGTTCATTATCCCATTCAGCTTTATATGAACATCTGTAACATTAACAACTTGACAGTCGTGAGCCACCTGACTACAGTGGCACAGAGAGATGGATGTTGAAGGGTTTAAGAACAACCTGCTGAACAGAAAAGAGGTGCATTAATGGTAATCCTGCCTTAAGGCCATTTACAATTCATTTTATCCACTTCTACCTCCCACTCTTTCGCCTTCAAACCTTACATCTCTCAGAAAAATCACTTTTTCTTCTTTTCTTTCATTGGCTTTGCTTTAATGCATTGCCTTTTTACCTTCTTCCACTTCACATTTCCGTATCTTTAGAATTTTATTTTATTTTACATTATTTGACTGTGACCCCTAATGGAAAGACAAACAGTATGGAAAGTCTTTTATGAAGTGAAAATAACTTTCATTACTTTTTCGAGAAGAAAATCTTCTTAAATGAATATTTGAACCTCAGAAAATTGTTGGTATGTATAAAAAAACAAGTTTCAGCCTATAACAATCATAAATGGTGTATTGATATGTATTCTTCACACGTAAAGCAATGTTTACCAAATATTGGATAAATAAATAACAATAAATGTAAACTCCCACTCCTAACCCACCCCCAACAACTGAGTTTCTAGACTGGATCTCCATCACCACATCACTGTTTGCTGCTATTATCCAATATTGATTTAGCATTGAATTCTCATCTTAAGATGTTCATATCAAATATAGGGGTTAATCAGTTGTTTCGTAGACAATAATACAAAATACAGTTGTACAGTACAATATGTGAGTAAGCCTGACAGTCACATATTCCTGAGTTAGTCAACATTGTCCTCCTGTTTGTTCAACAGTAAGTAACCTTTTATTCTGCCTTTTCTTTCATTACCTCTGCTGACACCACTGAGCCTTGCTTTAAATTCTTTGCTTTCTTTCCTTAAACTGGGACCCTGGCCAACAAGCAGGTGTCACATTGCTCTGGCCCTGCAGACCTTTGACCCCTCCCAGTCAGTCAGACGGGTCTCCTCATTGGCCGGGTCTCCTCATTGGCCGGGTTTATTTGACCCCTTCTAGCACTTTATCTTCCACTGTTTTGCACCTAGTGACATGATTGAATAGAGCACCACAAGGAATGTCCACTGGGATAAGATGTACTTAAATGTTAAGCAGGGAAACGGTCAAGGTGTATGCCAAATAAGCCGATGTGTGCAAAGCTAGTGGAGTGCAAATATCAAGAGCTTCTCCTGTGACAATAAGAAAATGCTACCGCAGTTTTTACAACTCATCAACCTTTTTATCCTTAAATGTATATATACACAATATAACAGAATAGAAATTCTCTCTCTCTCTCTCTCTCTCTCTCTCTCTCTCTCTCTCTCTCTCTCTCTCCCTCTCTCCCCCCGACTGGTCGAGGCAGAAGACCACCCACCTAGAGCAGAAGGGTCGGTCCTAGGTTTCTGCCTTTTAAAAGGCAGTTTTTCCTTGCCCCCATCGCCAAGTGCTTGCTCATGGTGGTACTGTTGGGTCTCTGTAAATGTTATAACGTGTTCGGTCTAGACCTGCTCTATTTGAAAAGTGTCCTGAGATAACTTCTGTTATGAATTGGCGCTACACAGATAAAATTGAATTGAATTGAATTAAATATATACTATATATAATTATAAAATGGCAGGAAGTGACTATTGACCACCACAGGGCAGAAAGTAAACATCAAACAAACTCATAAAAATGAGCTTTAATATACTTTATTTGCTTTTTATGCTCTTATGGGAAACATGACTCACATTGACATCTATCCAAACTTTCCAATATTTCCTTTCGCTAAAGTCAGGTTGTGGTTCTAGGACTGTCTATATTAACCTTTTCTTTTACAATGGCCAGGTAAGGGTACTCCAGCCACCTTGTGAAAACCTGCACAAATGTTAATACAGGCATTTTCATATTTATGGAATTTATCCTTAATGCAGCAAAAATGTTTTTTGTTTTTTTTATAATAGTGTTTTATTTAGACTTTCTTTTGTTGAACAATCTGTACTGTTTTTGTTACTGTACTTATTTTTCGTCTCTCTCTTCTTTTCCCGTCAGTGTCTCAGATGGGTGTAGCGCAGGGGCACAACATGTGTCCAGACCCGGGGATCCCGGATCGAGGAAAAAGAAAAGGTTCAGACTTCAGGTAAAAGCAAGCAAAGAATTACTTTAGGAACAATTAGCATCTTGGGTGGAAAAGATGGTCATCAGGTTTCCAAGACCTCACCTCACTTTGATACAAGCCATTATCCTATTAGGTTTGAGCTATATAGTATAAATATATATGGCTTGTTAGAGAAGTAATTTCTTTTGTACTTTGTTGCAGCTATGGCATTCATTAGCCTCATTTTTAATTTTTTGATATGACTTTTGTCACAGTTATTCAAAGTAACTTGAACCTTCAGCACAAGGCCTTCAGTTTTCTAAGTTATTCGTCAAGGCCTAATTAAGTTGTGTCAGTGGTATTGGAGTGCTCTGTGACAGTTTGCTGTTAAGATTTTGTTCTTCATTTAATGTAGTATTTCATTGTCAGTTCAGTTGTTTTGTGTTAAAATTGAATAATATCAGAGTTTTAATTAGTTCTGCTTCCAACATTAATTTAGTTTTCAAATGTTTAAAATTCACTGTTTTTCATAAAAGGACCTTCATTAATCAACGAATGTCAGCAATGCCACGGTATTGTAATTGTGCTTTTTTAAAATTCTGTCCCAATTTTATTCCAGTATTATGTCCCAGTTTACTGTTGATGATTTTAACTTTGTTCACAGTTATGTTTTAATCAACAGCGAACTGGGAAGACATTTTGAAATTTGGGGAGACTATTTGGTGCTACAACAAAATCAGGGACTGCACCTTGAAATGTGCTGTAGCATACAGCACATTACCCAATGTCATGCCCCATAAAGCCACTGCAACCAAACCAGAGAGAGAAATGTGTACACTAAAGCAAATACCTTACTATTTGAGTCACTGCACACTAATAGGCTGCCTCTGTGGGACGGTGATATTACCGGTGAGATTATTGAGTTTTATTCCTTTCAGAGCTATTGTCTCTATCAGTGGTCAACTGTAACAAAGACAAATAGTTAACATCCATCTCCCACAATGCAGCACTTTTGGGAATCACAGCTGGGAAGTAAAGGAGAACATTTATTTACTTATTTATTTGCCAGTAAATATTTTCTCTTGTTACTCTTACCTGTTACCTCATCAGCACTCCCACTGCTATAGGAAAGGTTTGTGATGAGGTTTGTGTGTTTTTCTTTGCATGCAATTCATCTGCAGGCGAACAGCCACAGTGCATTTCTCCTGCGACGAGGGGTATGAACTGCAAGGCTCGAAGAGCATCATTTGTCTCAGAGTGACAGACAGCTATGTAGGCTGGAGTGACGATCGGCCCATCTGCAGAGGTAAGGAGTGACGTGTGGGTTGTTCATCTGTGCACATGTGTAATGGATGTAGTCCCAATGTGACCTCCATTTATGTTTTCTTACTCGGATGCCCTGATTTTGACGTGTTTAATTATGAGTATTGTGTCATTTTGTGTGCATGCCCAGTCCATATTCTTCTTTTGTCTGTTTTATTGATTCAGTATTTGCAGTTTTATTGTAACTGGCCTGACTTTGACCTTTTGGCCAGCATTCTTTTGTTTCCTGCTGTTTAGCCATGCTGGCATAGTGCTACCAATCAATCATGTCTTCCTCACTTCTGACCATTTTGTGACAGGCAGGAAGAGCGGTCAGGCTCCCTGAATGATGTTCCTGATGCTCGTGTGCTCTGCAGTTTTCAGCCTCAGTGAACTGAATTAATCGGAGTAGATTTGATTCTTGACTTTTTCTTTTGGTAGTGTAATTGCTTAATTGATGGGTATCTGACTTATGAAGTGTATTCATTGGAGCAGGACATATTCATATTTTACTTCAATTTGATGGTAGTGTTCCATTAGAGCTCAAAAGTAAAAAAAAATCCTAAACCTAATACCCAGAAATTCCATTTAACAAGACATTCAGCATACTGGTTCTGACTTTAGTATTTCAGTTTAGTAGTTAGACTCCAAAATGTACACAATATGGTTTGAAGGCATTGTTTCCTGGAGGGGATTATTTTAGTTTTCGGATTGTTTGTACCAATCTAAAAGCACTCAGTACGGACAGAGAAAAAAAGTCAAATGAAACCCCGATCAGTGCAAGGCTGGTTTGTTATGATTTGTGTGGCAAAAACAAAAAATAGGCCATGGTATCTCTTAACTATGCTGTGTGCTCCACTCCTAGGAGCAATGTACTGTATGGTCAAGGGAAGAGTCAAATAGACATTTGACACAAGCCAATTTTAGATATTCTATTAACATCTCCTTAAAGCAGCTATAACAATGTATAATAATACGCTCAGTAACAATGTGAAAACATGAAAATGGTTTCTCTGCTTTACAGAGCTTTATAAGTTTCAGCCTATCGTTGAGCTTTCTGTCCCGCATCTTTCTAAAAAGGCAGACTACACTCACTGCTCTGCGCCATATGGCATACAGATACAGTTAGAAACTAGTCTCGCAATACCAGACGATATTAGATCTCAGCACCTACCAATCATCTGGGGATTTCTAAATGCAAAGTAGTTGCTTGAGCAGCTGCGGGAACGGCTGCAAACAACCCTTACTTGGCCTTACCTAAAACAATGTTCTCCTATTCTCTTCCGTAATGACACAAGCTGGAGCTTTAGCAAATTACTTTTTAAAACATTGAAAATGGATGGAGCAACTCTATATGGTACAGCAGTGTTTACAAGCACACAACTTCTGCATGTCACCACTCTTAAGACTTTGGATTGGTTCTGCAGTGCAGGATTTTTTTTTTAAACTCAGTTTTGGCAACAAAAGCTGAGCTAAAGTCTTCAGTCTCTATTGAGCAAAGTGTTTAGAGACTGGCTTCTGGCTCTAGTTAGTACCTAGATGCTCCCAAGTGGCCAAAAACATCATTTATTGCAGGTTTACTTGGCAGGTGTGGTGGTGGTTGATTATTTGTTTCATTGATTTGACAGCACTAAATGCTCTATCAGTATTCCAAAAGGTCCCTGTAATTACTGAGTGCTGAGTGATAACTCCAAAAGTTTGAAGTAATTAAGCCAAACAATTCTGAGATTGAGATGCTGACAAAAACATCAGAAAGTGCATTAACAGACCAGCTTTGAGATAAGTATGGTGGGACTGTACTAATTTTGAACTGTTTGATTTTCATTCAAATAGACCAATAGGGGGATTTTTCATCCATATTTACGTTTATCCCCAGCAGGAAGATCTCTGTCAGCCATTTTGTACCATTTCCCGGTTAGGGCTTTTGAACACCCTAATCTCTGACAGATTTGTCTAATGTAATCAACTGCAGCATTTTGTCCACTTTAACATCACCTTTGGGCCATTGTGTTACTCTACTTCAGTTAATGTATTCTGAGAAAATCCAGCATTTCACAGACACCCCCATTCTTTCTTTTGTCTTAGACTGATCCAATTGTACCAGAATTAAATTACAGCTCTATGGAGAGGGCAGCATGATCTTAGAAGGATTATGTCTTTGGGGGGATTGGTAGTGCTTCATCTCATCTGAGCTACTGTCAGTCATCCGATGGTGGTGTTTTGTGACACCAAACACATTGATGAAGGCCTTATAATGGCACTTTTGTCTTCTGTTCTTATTTGAACTAAAAATGGAGCTTTTTTTGAGTGAAGGACACAGTATAACAATATTTTTTTTTTCTGTTTTATGTAAAGAAATATTCAAGATTGACATATCATCCACAGTAATGTCAGTGAAATTGCCCTTTGAGGATATCTCATTCCTTCATCCTCACTTAACCTTTGGTACTGTGCCTTTGTTCTGCCTCAATGAAGATTAAACATCATCCAGGAATAATTGAAGATCTGTATCCTAAATTAGCATTAGTCATCATTAAATTGAACAGCACTATCATTAGCACAGGAAAAAACTTCATCTCTGGCTTCAAATTCATTGTCCCGAAATGAAATTCACAGCCCCTTTTCGTTCACACTGTCTTTCTGGTCACACTGAGCTGCCGCAATTTTTCTTCGTCATGGACTTTTATTGCTAGGTGGCCTGCTGCACTTTCTTGTCTATCACTGAACACACAGGGTGGAGTGTATCAAGCAAGATGATCCCCATGATTAAAAAAAAAAATAGAAGGGGATATGATAGCTTCGGTGGACTTCCTCACTGCTGTATTATTTTCATTAAGGTCACCCTCACTGTCAGAACAACTCAAATTAATTACTTTATTCTCTCCTTAACTTCGCCAAAGTTCTTTTTACATTTTAATAGGGGTTATTTGGTGGGAGAGGGGTGGAGCATGGACCCACTGAGTGGGGCTTTAACACCCAAAGGACCTCTCTTAGACGTAACTCATTAAAATCTGGGTAGCTAGTTTGGGTCCTTTCAAATACTTTCAGGTTTCCCCCACATATGTACACACGTACACACTCACTTCCCTTAAAGTACTCATTAGGAATTCTGCTTTAATTTGAAGGGGTGTTTAACAGTTCTGCCATGCAGACACCCTGAGGCCATGATAGAAAAGTCACATTGTCCTTTATTGAGGTTTGCTATAACTGCTCTCTTTTCAAATGAGAACATCAAGGTGCGATACTCAATTTGTGTTTAATTTTGTTTTCCCCTGATAACGTTTCCCATACATAAGGTTTACTTGGGCAGTACCAAACTATATTAATGGCTGCCTGAAAAACATTTTAACAATTGCAGAGGACCATAAAGATCTAAATTGGCAAGTGTTTAGAGGGTGCACAGCAGCTGATTATATTCAGATCTTCAATTTGTTGATGTTTGAAAAAAGGACAAGCTATCATTTCCAAGCATTCACCATACAGCTTCAACTTTCAAAAGCAATGCTTGCTTACATTTCCGTCTGGAACACTGAAGGAACCTCATTATGCTCTTTGGGATGCTATCCATGCTGCTTGGTAAAGTTTAAGATGAACATTTTGAATCCCTCTACAGGGCGTTTTTGAACAGAATACAGAAAACACAAATGAAATATCCATTATACATAATTCACGAGGTAGAATTACAATTGCAAGCATGAGTAATAAGAAACCCGAAAAGGGGTGAAGGCTGAGGCAGTTCAGGGATAGACAGGCACCACTAGCAGCTAGACAGCATCATGACTTGTAGATTTAACATGCAATCCAGGAGAGGCTTCGACGCATCCTTCGTCTTTAGTTGTTTATAAATGAGAATGTTTGTTTTTAAACTGATATTGACCAAACATTTCTCCTCTTTCTGTGTCTCCCCTTGTAGCACCAATGTGTGGAGGTCAGTTGAAAGGGCCGGGCGGAGTCATCACATCTCCAAACTACCCTGTCCAGTACGACAACAATGCTAACTGCACTTGGGTCATCACAGCCACAGACACATCTAAGGTAAAAGTCATTAAACCAGGGAGCAACAGTGCTGTACTAATTTAGCTTTGCTGCTGTAACCGCCCGGGTTACATTGGTGTGTTAAGTAGCACGGTTAGCTGCCAGAGAACTGAAAAACAGTTGACTGGTGTGTTTGCACCTGTTAACGAGGAACTCTAGAGGAAACTCTTCTCTGACGCACATGAATCATTTTATGCTTTTGATAATTGCTACAGGACATTTTGGGGGGCTGTTGAACACACCATGTGACAGAAGCTGTCTCATAGAGAAATGTGAGAGATAAGGAAAATGAAAGAGGGGAGAAAGAACACTGGAACTGAGCCAACAGAAGACAAAGAGAGTTGTTAGAAACACCTGTGGTGAGGGAGAGAAGAAGAGAGTAAAAACGGACAGAAGAGTAATGGAGAGGTTTTGAGAGCATGCTCAGAGGATATCATGAAAGTGTCATTGCCACTCTGTTCAGACCATTGACTTTGGAGTAGTGTTCAAGGCCACCCAGCTGCTTTCCTGCCAAATATCCTTCTCTGAACTCAAACAAAACGCTTTAACAAATCTGTTCTCCTATTGCAATGTGCCGAGTGAAAGCGAGGCTGTGTGAGGTGAGAGGGAAGGCAGAGTGGGTAGTCAGACACAATGCACACCCACCCAATCCCACCCTTTGCTTGCACGCGTAAAAACACACACACACATAGACACCCCTGGGTATACTCGGCGGGCAGCCTGCTGAAACAGACAACGGTACTTTGGGCTGCCTCTCGCTCTGTGTCTAGTCCAGATGAAGATGGAGCGAGGCTGTTCTTCCTGTTTAGAGATGTAATGGGCTTCTATTCCTGCCTGTGCGCATAGGCCCAGCCAGAGGAGACGTTAGGTCAGGCAAGAGACTGAGGCGGAACCGCAAAGGGAGGTGGGTAGGGACGTGACACAGCTCTTCTAGACCTAAATGCAACCTCGTGACACTATGACTAATGTGGGTTCTTGTCAAGTGTTGCTCCTTCAAAATGTCGTGAGTGTACTGAATGCTGCTGTTTTTAGTTGACACTCTTTTAAGTGTTTATCCGTCAGCGTCAGGGACACTGGAGTATGTTCTGGAACAATCAAAATGTCAGACATGTCGTCAGAGATTGCAACTTATATAAAGTAGATATATGGTTGCTGTTTGTTTCTTTTTTTGTCAGTTCCTCCCCCTCTGTGCCTCACCTGTTGGCTGCCAGATGGGAGATGAGTTTGTGGTATGAAACTCTATTTATCGAGTGATCTGACCTATTTTGCCTACACACCATCCATCTCCTCTCTCCACCTTGGCAATTTTCATTAGGCACTGGGTTTAACATAGGACAGAATGCAATTTGCATTTATATAAGCTTTTTCATTAGGCCTGGCTCTCTCGGTCTTCTGAAAACATTAGGAATTTGGCGGAAATCAGTGGCAGCCAATTTAAAATAGGAGACAAAGACAGTTCTTGCTTTGCTTTTTATTTATTTAGTCTCACATATTATCCTGCTTTTTTGTCTTTATTTATCAACATTTTACACTATCATAATCAAAACTTATTTGTTTGTCTTCCTTTATTAGAGTCGCCTGTTTTTTCCTTCAGCTAGGGTACACTTTTTTTCTGGCTTCACCTTCTTTCCCACACTCCCATCTGCAGCATATAAATGAGATGAAATGAATAGGGCTGTTTCCCCTAAGTGTTAAAATCCCATACATAATCTCTAAAACTTTTGTATCACCTTTATGATATACATATTCACCTTGTGGCCTCCATCACCTGCCACATCTCCTGACGCGCTTTAAGTAATTGTGAGTCTGGCTAAGTAGGCCACAAAGGCATCTGCACCCTGCTGATTTGATGAGCAAAGAGTAGGGGTCGTGCAGACCGTCTGGCAGGCAATCACATATTCGATTAGTGGGAGGGGGTTCATAATCGCCAGACTGGAAGTCGGATGTAGCGCACGGTCACGTATACATCAAATAAAGCTGAAACAGGAAATAAGAGTGTTTGGATGCATGGAGACCTGTGAAGGTGTGTGAGTATTTACAAGAAAATAAATATATTGATAACAGCAAAGGGCAGATGCTTTACATGCAGTGTACACAGCTGTTACATAGGTGTGAATGGAAGTGTGCCAGAAATGTATTCAAAAGAGATTGACACATGGATGGAAAGTCACAGATGGAAAGGTGTCTCTCCTCTGCACCTGGTGTCAGGAGAATTCAAGCATCTGTCGTTTACGGTTGTCTTGGCCATGTCCCCGCTGTTGTCCAGGTGATCAAGCTGACATTTGAGGATTTTGACCTGGAGCGAGGCTATGACACCCTGACTGTGGGAGACGGCGAGGTGGTGGGAGACCAGAAGACCATCTTCCATGTGTGAGTGACTCCTTTGACCTCTATCTTTTTTTTGCCTTTAATCTTGCCTCTGTTCTCTAACTTCTTCTGGCTTTTACTCCCCACTGTCGTCTCTAGCAGTCATTTTACATTTTTGCTACTCATGTCCCGTGTAATCGTATTCTCTGTTTTGCTTTCTCTTTCCTCTTCACCTTTCTTCTTTTTGGCACACATGCCTTTTCTCCTCCTCCGCTTCCCTGCAGCCAGCAGCACCCCTCTCCCTTCCCTTTACCCTCCAGCCCTTTTTTCTCTCTTGTACTGTTTCTCTTTCATTTCATCACCACCTGATGCAGTAGTGCATGAAAAATAGATGAGACACCACATTGTCAATCATCACTCTTTTCAATGTTAAAAACAAGATCACAGCCATGTGGTGCAGCATTGCGAACTGCATATTGATGCCCCCTAATGGAGTTTGCACTAGCAGATGCTCCATAACAATTCACAGGATGTTGTTATTAATTGTGCTGAAATTTACCACCTTAATAAAGTTTTTATAGATCAATTTTTATGCGAGGCTGCCTCGCCTGGGTGGGAACTGGGAGGAGGTGGGAGATAAATGAGGGAGAGGTTTGTGGAGGAGGGGGTTGTTGATGAGGGGAAGGTCTTCCTCACTTTAATACTTTAGTGTGCTTGCACATAATTGCACACACTGAAAATGACCTAATCTGTATAATTAAGGACTCCCTGCGTCCTTATGGACTTTTTATGATATGAAAGTAGAGTAAGCAGTTCTGTCATTGAGATCAGATGCGCTCCTGCACGCAAACAAACTAGAACAATTTAGGACCAGAGAATATACTGCAGCTATCAGCACAGTTTAACTTGGGACTATATTTTTGTGATTCAGTGGTGCAGGCAAGCGTGTGCAGGGTATAGGGTGTATAACTTTAAGGTCAGAGGCATGTAACCCTACTGCAGCACAGTCATAAATGTGGTGGTTAATAGGCAGTGAGTCACAACCAATCAAATCCCCTATTCTCCTTCACTTGAAAGACACCGTGCACTGACAGTTTGATAATGGAAGAGAACAATTTGGTGTGAATCTGCCTCAAACGTTTTTCCCCTAGGGAAAATGGCCTTGTGTGGAAAGAACATAATTGTCATGAGCTGACTGAATGAGACTACTGACCAAACTTGTACGGCTGCAACTAACGATTCTTTTTTATTATCGATTAATCTGTGGATTATTTACCAGATTAATAGATCGGTCAGATTGTTCGGTCTATAAAATGTCAGAAAATATTCAAAAATGCCCAACCCTTTTTCTTAAAGTCTAAGGTGATGTCTTTAAACAGTCCAAAACTAAAAGATATTCGGTTTAATATGATATGAAACAGAGAAAAGTAGGAAAATTCTGTATTTGAGGGGCTGCATTTTTGCATGAAAAATTACTTAACCAATTTATCCATTATCAAAATAGTTGATTATTTTTATATCGATTGACTAAGGTTTAAATACCCATATTCTAATGCATGCTGGAATTTCTTTTGACACACTAAATATTGCATCTTTTCCAAGCATGCATGGACAACAGGAACTGACCAAATTACCAAAAGGCATGAAAAGGACAAAAGATGCACCAAACTTATCGAGAGACTACTTCCTTACTACTCTCACCATCCTCTGTGTGTCTTCACTAAAATTAGAACCCTTAATCACTTACTCTGGAGCTACACACTTCCTAATTAGAGTTGGGTGGAAATACTATTCAAATAGGATTAAATTACTTCTGTGGCATTGACTGATCTTGCCTTCATTTTCCACTTTCTTGTCCCCAACTGTTTTGAATAAAAGGTTTAGGATAAAAAAAAGACTGGAATTGCCTGCAACAGTTTTAGAGCACTTTTCTTTGATGAGAAAAGTCAGATAGTTTAATATATAACTTCAGGTGTTGTTTTTGCTGCTTGCTTTAAAGTTTTTTAATGATGCTGTGGAATGAGGGCCTTTGGCTATTAAAGTGACACCAGATTTACTGCAGTAAGTGCAAACACTGCTTATAATATTTGAAACAACTGATCTAGGTTTTACAGTTGACACAGCTTGCAGTCAAAATATATATAGCACAAACATAAAGTACATTCAAGATCATCTTTGAAGAAATGTCTGTTTAAGAATCCTGTCCTTTTGTCCCTTGTCTTTGTAGCCTGTCTGGTACCACCACTCCAGACCTTGTGGTTAGCACCAGTCACCAGATGTGGCTCAATTTCAAAACAGATGACACCAGTGGCTCCCTGGGCTTCAAGGTGTCTTACGAAGGTAAGGATGCATTAAACACTGTCGCTAGTTGCATTTTAAAAAGTAACTATTTGTTCTAACCTCGTATAGAATTAAATTTGTTTTTTAGTCATTCGTCCTTGTGCATTGGGACTTACTGCTCGAAGCTGACATCATGGGCTCTGACAGAACACATTTTGCTTCAGTTGACTGTAACATTATTGTCCTTCCCTGCATTCATTATCCTGAGTTTAGCTTGAAAAACATTGGGGTTTAGAGATGCTGCATCTGTCTCATCTAAGAATTTTGTAATGTAGCTTAATAGCCTCAGAACAAAATAGGCATGGTGCTTCTTGCCATGTGAGCTTCTTGCCGCACGGCATGCTGCATTTACTATTACAGCTAGATTACAAAGCCCTTAAATCAAACACATACTGTAGCAAGGACTCAGTGAATGAAGCCTCAAATTGTTGGTTCCATTGCAACTATGCACAAATTATGCTTTCAGATTAATTATTTGTGTCATGTTTGATGCCTTGAGTGCTAATGAGGCAGGATAATAAAAGCACTTATTTTTGTAAAATAAATTGTCAATGGGCCATCAAGGCAGCAGATAGCTGATACACTTGTCCTGTTGCCCAATCCTAGTGTGTGTACTCTTATGTGTGTGGGTGCACGTGTGTGCGAGCGACAGATAAAACAGAACGACAGTGTGAGTTTGTGAATATGTACGTGTGTGTTCTGTTTGTCTGTGTGTATGCACACGAGTATGGGGAGTTTGCCAGAGTTCTTCATCTAGATAAGTCTGCCGTTTGCCTCTCAGAAGCACAGCGAGTCTTCTCCCTTGCCCACAGATGCTTATTTTTCATCAGTAAAAATAACAGAGAAAGTGGAGCAGCATGCTGAACCAAAGTGTAATTAAAACAATGAGTTCTACTTAATGAAGGGGAAGAAACGCTTTGAACCACTTCACCTCCCAGATTGGAGCACCCAAAATCTAATTTGCATTCTCAATTACTTGTATTTTAAGCCTGATCATCAAGTGTAATTGCAAACACAGTCATACCAGTACACACACTCCCACCTTACCCATGCATTTGAGTGTGGATTGCACAAGCTCTGCAGTGGCCTCAATCTTTCAGCTGAAATTGCAAACAAAATTGGTTTTAATGTGTAGGTTTAAACTTAACCACTGCAGTGCTTTATACAGACACTGAGCATGTACAATTTGAAACATTCGGATTTAGTTACGCCCATATGCAGGGTTTTTAGAGCCTGTTCAGACTGCAGAGTGCATAGTGTAATGAGTTTCTGGTTGAAAGTTGAATGTGTTGCCCCACCTTTTTACAACATATCAGTCAGTGCTCGAATAGGGCTGGTATCCACTGATAAGATATGCTGGTATTTTTGCTTATGGTTACTACATTGCCATATAAAATTAGCACTGCTGATTATAGATACTTCACATATAATGTTTTAATTTTGTGGGTGGAAATGCAGGGCCTGTAAAGCCCATTGAGACATATGCAATATTGCGTTATCCCAATAAACTTGATTATTAAAGTCCTTTTGTCGTTTTAGGCCTTAAGAGATTGCAGTGTAGTTGTTGACAGTAATGTGAGTTTGAGTCCCATTTCAATGCTTGGATTACTATTGAATGTCAGACAGACAGGGACAACAAATACCCCATTACATCTCTTCCCTTATTCATGAGAATCAAATGATAATGCATTCACTCCTGTCTGCTCTCTTATACACAACATACACAGAGACACACACATACATTCACAAACACATGTATGACAACAGACATACACACCAGCGTACACACACTTCAGAGGGCTCTTATTTATTGCCTCCATTTTCCCTAAAGGTCTAATTGTAGGGAGCCATGAGGCAGAGAGGGCTTACGTGAGAAAAGCACTGGAGGGAATTTGAGGTCTTCTGAGAGAGTCTGTTGCAGTGACAAACAAGTATATTATTGTATAACTGTGTTTGTGCTTTATGCATTTGCATATATATGTATGTATTTGTGTGTCTGTCTTATAGCTGGAGTGTTCTTCCAGATATGGTTGCTGTTGGATCTTGTGCATTCCCTTTATATATTTTCCTTCTCTCAGGCTCACCTCAAAATTTGGTTTTAGCATTCCTCCCTTTAAAGGTGACTTCCACGTAAGATCAATGAGTTGTCTTGTGGATGAGGCTGCCTCAGGACAGCCATACATCCAAACAGCAGTGAGCTCTAAATATGTGTTCTAAATGATGATCATCATTAGGGCTGACTATGGATTTATACCCAGCATCACCCCTGGTGCGGTTTAAAATCGTATTAAGCCCTGCCATCATTTCCTGGATGGATGAGCTTATTCGCTCTGTGTGTTCCCCCATCCGGATGCCTCGATAGGATGCCTCAGCATTCCCATCTGCAATCTGCAACCTCAGAAAAGTAGAAAGTAGACTGAGTGAAAGAAAGAGGATTGCATAAATCTTGCGATAATGAAATTTGTGTGCGTGGTTTTGAGATACAAGGGTGGACACGGAGGTGTGTGTGTGCGCACCTGAAAGTGCTCATGGCAGCTTCCAACGCAAGTGAGAACGTTTGTCACACAGTTTGAGGAGGGATATATTTGTGGGAGTAGAGAGAGGGAGAAAGACAGGTTTGTGACATTAGTGAGTAACATTTTGGGAGGATAAATAGAGAGTAAAGACTACTTAGTGGCAAACTAAATTATACTAAAACTAAATGCATGACGAGAAAATGGCAAAATCACGTTTTAATATCATGAAATGTAGAAGTTAGTCTGTCTGAACTCTTCTCTGAGACATCCGTTCAGCTATATCCGCTCAGTCTTTACTAAGGTGAATGTCTTTGATGCACAGTTTTGACAAAGCCAGCAACTATTGAGCAGACCCAGGACACTCCACAGCTAGGGATGCATTAACCTACAGAGGTTACTGTTAAAGATGTGTGCTCTTAAAAAGAAGCACTCCTTTTATTTTAGATGTGTCACAGTGCTGGGAACTTGCAGAAGGTACTTCTCACTCCATGCAATCTCCCACATTTGGTTGAGACACAAGCTCTAATGCTACAATGACTCACAACAAGACCTGAACATTGTTTTTTCTCTATTGCTTACGTGTTTCTTCCTCATGTTACCCTCAGTCAAGTGTGTCAGTATGACCAAAATCTGAACCGTAAAACAGAATTCACTGATGCACCACCACCTCGGCATATATGAGCTGAGCCAGCACATTATATTATTATTTAATCAATAAAACTGGCTACGGATTGTTTCAGCAGCAAAACTAATATAAAGTAGCTTTAAGGGTATCAAACAAGTGATGGCATAAGACTAAGCTGTGGTAACCAGTAACAAAATCTAGATGTGTTTCTAAAAGATATTCGATGTGTTTTCTTAGTAATATCACTGTTTAACATTCCTAACAAGCTAACAGGATGCAATCGGTGAATAAAATGCTGCTGTAATGCTTTTTTGAAACTACGATTTAGGCTGGGGTGCCCAGATGGCTCCCCTGGTAGAGCTGGCGCCCCATGTGTCGAGGCTGTGTCCTTGCTGCAGTGGTCCAGGGTTTGGGTCCAACCTGCAGCCCTTTGCTGCATGTCATCCCCCCCCACACACACTCTCTCTCTCTCTCTCTCTCTCTCTCTCTCTCTCTCTCTCTCTCTCTCTCTCTCTCTCTCTCTCCTTCCATGCCTATCTTAAGATGTCACTATCCATTTAAAGGCAATAAAAGCCCTAAGAAATATTTGAAAAAAGAAAAAAGATTTAAGATAACTATACCTACCTAGTTTAAATCTTGGAGCTATCACTGCACTGGACACACAGACATTAAATCCACATTGGTACTTTCTAACTCTGGTGAGATGAAAATGTCTGTGTTTCAGTAATAAGTGGTACATCCTATTCTGCATGTGCACTTTTGTGTACTTTCTGTTTTCCACAAGTTGATAATTTATTTTCCTGTTCTACCCCGAGGGAAGAGTGTGGCGAATGGGCTGCTATAAAGCTCCAACACACAACAGTGGAGAGTTGGCAGCAGAGCAGTATTGTATAGAATGATTAGGGAAGTCATTTTTTCCCAGTCTATGTGACTGCACATGAATGCACTATTCTTGCAGGCTTCTTTAAGTCAGCTAAAGGAAAAACATACATTAAAAAATAGATAAATAAATTCGGTTTGGATTAATGTATTTGGGTGGCCTGACTTTTGTCCTGTCACAATATAGCAACTCTATTTTAATAAGCTGAACCCACATTTGCCTGTAACTGGAACTGTAGAGAAACAGCACTATGTGGTTTGTTTTGATTTAGTGCAAGATCCTGCATCTTCATATTACTGATGACCTATGTTGTTGTATCTTGTCAATATCTGCTAGAGGCTACAGCCAGTAATGCTGTGTGCGTGGATGGATGTAGTTTTTACAAACCGAATATTCTTGCCTATGTGTTTATTTTTGCCCACACAGAAATCGACCAAGGCAGTTGTGGAGATCCTGGAATCCCAGCTTATGGCAAACGGGAGGGGACAGGTTTTCGTCACGGGGACAGACTCTACTTTGAGTGTCTGCCTGCCTTTGAGCTGGTGGGAAAGAAGAACATCACCTGTCAGAAGAACAACCAGTGGTCGGCGAAGAAACCCAGCTGTGTTTGTAAGTTCTTGGATGCCTTAGGCTATTCAGGTTCTACATGTGTACACGTGCATGAGTACGACTCTACTCACATGGACACATGGACATAAATATGTATGTTTGTGCAGATGACTGCTGAATAACAAATGCTCAGATTATCCCTACAGTTTGCAGAGCAGAGGCTGTGGATTTGGAAACAGTAGGAGTGCTTATTAGTTAATTAACGCCATGAAAGAGAAACACAGAGAGTGAGACAGTAAGAGGGTGAGAGGAAAAGGAAAAGAGAGCTGACCATGCAGATAATGCCCACTGTTGTATTATTGATAGATAATAGGGTGGACAAAAAGCTGCAGTGTTTAGATAAACATCACTGAGCTGAATGACATAGAAGAGTCAAGTTGGCCACATAACCCCTGTAAACATTGTTTAGTTAGCATTTAACAAACTGTTTTAGTCATGTAGATGCAATTAAGTGTGCTTGTCTTTGTTACTGAAGTTGATCATGTTATAAGATGATGTCCTTTTCTAAATGTATAGATGCATATTGCCTACTTGTTTGTTTGTTTGTTTGTTTGCATGTGCATTAGGTATTAGGGATATTTATTTATATCCTTTATATATTCCAGTGATCAGTCTTCATGCCATTTTACTTTATTTTAAACTGACTGATCCTAAACCTCACCAACTCTTACTTACTGTTGCTACCTTGGGCTACTTACTGATGACAATTAGGTCAGCGGGCATTGTGTTTAGCAACATGCTGCAGTGTATACAATAGCTAGGTGCACACATGGATGTAAAACTGTGAAAGGTAAAAATTGAGATAAAGTCATTACCATAACATTACAAAAAGTGGAAGGGAGAAGCCCTGTCATCTCTCAATAGAAACAGAGGCTGATGATAATATGAATAATGACTCCTGCACTGCTGGGTAAACATTTGACCATGATTCATTTCATATTAAAAGTGAATCTTGGGTGCAAATTCTGGTAGTTGTAGTCCCACAGCTGGACTTTGTAAAGCTCCCGTACATATTTAAATATCTATCTAATGTGCATTTGTGAATAATGTAGTGTTTTGTGTCAGTGACTAAGACTCAAGTTATCTTACAGATCCCCCTGCAACCTTTCATTGTTTCGTAGTTGACCTTCAACTGAAGTATCCTCCGTCCCTGTTGCTTGCAATTAAGTTCAAGGTTGTTGTCTTAAGGGAACCTACATACATTTTGCAAACTCAGTTTTTGAAACACCTCCTTACAACTGGTAGATCCCAGTACACGGAAGCTAGACCAATTAGCATCTGCCCAGTAACGTCAAGGTATTGTGCTGTTACCCTCCAACTACATCCATTGGAGCAGCTGGGGACAAGCGACAGCCTTGACGGTAGTCAGCGAGGGAGATGAGACCATTTTTCATTTTCATTGCCAACATATTGCTTTTAGCTAGACATTGATTGGAAACAATGATTTTTCTGGTACATGTTGTCAAAATTACTGAGGCTTCCTCCATTCCTCATTTCATTCCACTGGGCTTACTTAAACAAGATATTGTTGCTAGTAGGTACCTCTTCCCATATAATGGTGGATAAATAGCAACAATTTTGCTACAATAAGCCACAAAATACCATTTTGTTATATGTTGTTATTGGCAGCTTTTATCCAGATGTATTTCCTTTTCATTACTTTCATTTCCAATGAATCCTTTGTAAGCATACAGTTACTGTCATTGTAAACCTATATGTGCTTGTGCTACGAGGCAACACATTGATGGTTATAGCGTTGTCTTGTGAAATATGAAGATATGACTTCCTCCCTGATCTGTTAGACGTCTACAGTATGTAAGGTGGATTTCTAATGGTTCAATAAAATGTATCAAATTTGACTGTCTTGTAGTCAGCAAAAGTAAATGGGATTTTCTGTTTTTCTCCCTTGTAAACAATACTTATTTTTATGTTGCTTTGTTTTATTTCTTTTTCTCTCTGTCTATCTCTCTTCATCATTCCTATAGTTTCCTGTTTCTTCAACTTTACTACTCCATCCGGGGTGCTGCTGTCTCCCAACTACCCTCAGGAGTACGGCAACAATATGCACTGTGTGTGGCTGATCATCACCAACCCTGAGAGCCGAATCAATCTGGCCTTCAACGACCTCAGCATGGAGAAACAGTTTGACTTCCTCTCGATCAAGGATGGGGGAAAGGTAGTGTTGAAAAATAAGCTGTTGTCCTCGGTTACTTTGAAAAGCTCTTTGTGCGACCTCATTTATTGACCTGTCTGTCAGTCATTGTGCATGTCAGTGGGAGAAGCAGCCTGTACAATTATGTGTACGAGCTAAACATCTACCTGCCAGCCTCATTGGACTGGCTACCCATTTTATCTGTCTACCTTTCTTTAGGAGCTGTTTACTTTCTGACTTCTTTCCCTCTTTAGTTCATGATACCTTTGGTCTGAAAATCTTGATCTGTTTTTGTCAGGCTGAGTCTCCTATCCTGGGAACCTTTTCCGGTGACGTCCTGCCTCCCTCTATAACAACTAGTGCCCATGTGGCCCGACTGGAGTTCCTGACTGACCACACCTACACAGACAGAGGCTTTAACATCACATTTACAAGTAAGTATTGAATGCTACTTCAAAGGAGATAAAGGGAAGTCTTTAAAGCTTATCACAAAAACATACCCTGACTGGATGTGTGTGTGTGTGTATGTGTGTGTGTGTGTGTGTGTGTGTGTTTGTGTGTTTGTGTGTGTGCAATAGGCCTCATGAATCATCTGCCATATCTTATGTGCCTTGTCTCCCACAGACTGCATAAACTTTTCCAGGCATCAGCAACACATTCCTTACATAGTCACATAGAGAAATGACAAAAAACCCTGTCTTTATTGTCTAAATAGAGACTTGACATCTAAATAAAACCCAAACAAAGATGCAGCATCCTTACCTGACAGATACATTGCGGCAGTGCTCATTATATTCTATTCTGGGTAGCTGCTGACTTCTGAGGAAATTCCAGATGGGTTTTATACTCTGACGCAGTACACGTTGGCTGCATGCTGGTAAACCCATTTCATGGTCACGGATATACTGTACCGTGAGGGTTTGGCAGCAGGATTTTTGCATTCATTGCATATGTGCCATTGTGTAATGAGCCTGATCTTTGCATTCTTCCACATCCCAAAATAAATATGTCTGTACAGACTGTCTAACCCTAACCCTGTAAAGCCACAAATCTATTTCATAGCTACTGGCAGAAAGAGAATATAATATGCTTTTATTAGTGTATTATCACCTGAAATGAAGAATCATTATGTTTTTGTCACCTTAGAAAAAGAATATTTACAAACGTTGTGGGTCATGTTTCTACAGTACCCCAGAAGGGACAAACCAAACACTGGCACTAGATTGTGGTGTTAACGTTTTTCCGCGCGTTTCACTGCCACGTAGTTGTTCCTCCTATTTTCTCTCTTTTATATATATATATGTGTGTGTGTGTATATGTGTATATATGCATTCTTCTTTAGAATATCCTTTATATTTGTAGTAGTATAGTAGTTTATTATATATTGTATTATGCACATACAATACCCTACCCACATGGACATTTTTTAGACAAGAACATTACTTCTTACATAACATGCAAACAAATAACTTTTTTCTGTTCAAAACTCAACAAATAAAAACTTTTTTAGAATCATCCAACCATAAAAACTCATCAGAAATGAATTACATTTTACTAAAATGTGTTGCCCATAAATCATCATATAAGCAGCTATAGAACATGAATATATGCTTGACTTTTTTGTTAACTTCTGTTTCATGAAGAGATCTACTCTGTAGTCGTTTTTCATGAGCCAGTGTGTTCTCAAGTTAAGTTTCAATAATCAACAGACCATCTTTCCTTGTAAATTAAAAAAAAAAAAAGTGAATCGTTGTTTATAGTTTTGAAAATCATAATAAAATAAATATTTTACCTCACTAATGCAGGGATGTGCATGCAAAATGTTTCACTTACAGATCTCTTTAGTGAGCGTATGTTCAGGCTGTTCTAAATCTGCGTCATCTCACATTTATGTCTGAAGTTTGGAGGTTCTCATCCTAGTAGTAATTATAATAGTTGTATTAGTATTAATATTATCAGGCATTAATATTAAATGAGGCATGACACAAAATGTCTGTTTTAGGGCTATACTTTATACCTGCTACGTAGCCGATCATGTTTTTATATGGACTATTTAGACAACATCTTTAACACAGTATTGATCACTTACCAACTAATGGTTTTATTCATGAAATCATTTAATCCAGTGTACTGAGGTGGATGGTGTGTAAATTCTTACTCAGGAATTCCTGTTTTCTGCTTCTTAAAACGATTTATGCTGTTGCTAAAATATCATACCTCAGCCTACCCAGAATCCTTTTGGGCCCTTGCTGTAGCTCATTTGCAGACATGCCATCAACGCAACCCAGGTGCCTCTGTAAAGCCACAATGCGGACAACACATGGCGGCTAATGCATTAATTAGCGAGTTAGATGAATAAATAAATAACCAATGCAGTGTGGTGAATTAATGTCAGGAGCAGTTAATTGAAGATGATGGTTAGTTCCTGAGAACAGTGTCATCTAACTGCAGGACTGTTTTTTGGGGTCTGTGGGGCTGAGCGGACAACTTCCATCATTCACGCTAATTAAGGACATGCCAAACTGTATTGAGGGGATTTTTGGCACGTTAATAAATAAGATGATCGTGATGGATGAGGTGTGGCTGGCGCTCTGTTTGGGTCCAGTGGATCTAGAAGAGGGATTCATCAACACCTACACGTGTCACCTACCCGTATGTGTGTACCAGAGTGAGAGCGAGAGAGTAAGTGAGAGATAGTGGCGCAGGTGATGTATTTGTTTACATGCCTTGTTCCAGGGTTATGCCTCTTCTTGTGTGACTGCATTTCTTCGTGGCCTTTATAACTGGTTCCTACTCGAAGTTTCATTGAGAGTCCTGATAGATAAAGTTTTGAGGACGTATGAAAACAATTTCCCCTGTTTATTTACTCCACCTATCATTCAGCAGCGTCATGGCACTGCATATCTGCATACGGTGTGGTTTCCCACCCTCTGGAATCACTGCAGCAGGGAGAATCAATGTGACTCACTAAGTGAAACAAATTTCTTCTCGTTAAACGCTGGCATTGCTAAATGCTGACAGTAGAAAAAAAAAGTTTTGTCAAGAAACTTGGCTAATTATTTTAGAATCTCCATGGAAATTAGCATCTTTGCAGAGAAAAAGTAATATGTGACAAGGATTAATACCAGCAGAATTACAGTTGACCTGTTCTTTTGTGTTTTCAAAGGATGACACTTTTTGTTTCTTTATTTCTTTTTAATACCATAAACCAGCTTTTAGGTTTTTTTAAAAATTATTTTTATGATATGTGAGTGAAGGAACACTCTCACCTCAAACCTATGTGTTCTCCTCCACACTAACCCCATCTCCTCTCTGCATTTTCAAGCATTCCGCCATAATGAGTGCCCAGACCCTGGTGTGCCAGTGAATGGGAAGCGCTTTGGTGAGAGCCTTCAGCTAGGCAGTTCCATCTCATTCCTGTGCGAGGAGGGCTTTGTTAAGACCCACGGCTCGCAAACCATCTCCTGCATTCTCAAGGATGGCAATGTGGTCTGGGATAATGCGGTTCCCCGCTGTGAAGGTGAGTAAGGGAGGTGTTACCCTTTGTGACTGCCATCTTACAACATGTTTTTGGATATTTGTTATCTAAACTGACCATTTTAGGTACAATCAATAAGAAGAAAGTGGCATGAGATAAAGCTTCTTGCTGGGGACGCACATCACCCATATGCATCTGACACAGGTTTTAATATTAGTTGTAAATACTAACAAAATGAGAGAGATTTATTCCATTTTTTTTTATCCAATATCACGCACCGGGCGGTTATGTTTGAGCTGGCAGAGTTATCTGTAGGGCTCAGACAAATCCACATATTACCGGGGTAAATATGCAGAGGATTTAAGTCATTAAGAGGAAGATGTGCATATCTTTCCTTCTGAAAGCATTTATCCTGTGGTCTAGCACCTCATTAGCTAGGTACTCACTAAGTTATAGCTTATATACAGCTGTTATAAACCGATAAAATGGGAGTAGGTTTGTTTTTAATGTTTACTCTAGCCAGTAATACAGCATGCACTGCATCTCAGGATTGTAAAGAGTAATAGGGAAGACCAGAAATCAAATTAAAAACTGATTTGACGCTTATTTTGGGTTGCATTATTTCAGTTTGTTTGAATTCATTGATTTGAAATAATTTGAATGTTCAGGATCACTAAGATGTGACTGAAGGGTGGGTAGTTCTGGTGGTAATACAGAAGGTATGTCCTTTTAAGTATCTGATGCTGCAAACTTACATACAGATTGCTGAACCATCCATTTACCCTTCTCTAACTCAATATTCAATGAACTATTTCCAGCAAACCAGAAAAGGCCAATATAGCTGACAAAGCTAAGATTAAGCAGCTGAGGTTCTTGGACATTGGTAGGATAGAACATCACGCAGAGACATAGCTAGGATGACTCTTAAGAGTCCTAATCAGGTTCACTATTCATGATACGCAAAGGAGAAACCATTATTAAAACATGTCACTTCCCCCTGTGTGCCACAGCAGCTTTGTATTCCTCTGAGACCATCTATCATACCCCTTCGTTTGTAGCGTAATGCGTTTTATAGATGTCCTTCAGTATGCTGAGTTGGCTGATTAAATCATTCCACTTCAAAGGGAGCAAGGAGCTGGCACTGTAACTAAGCCGTCCACTGTGCCTGTGTGTTCTGGTTAAGGATAGGCAGTTAAAGAGATGCACAGTAAAGTGAACAGTAGCAAAAATGAGGGTATGGGAGAGGGGTTGATGTGCTCAAGTGTCTTTTGTGCCGGCGATCAAAGCTGTTCCCTTTTCTCTGTTTGATGAAGATGACAGCAGCACCTTTTGTAGGAGGGGTTTGATGACAGATTCAAATACAGCAGCATAAGGGAGGAAACGTGCACACACGGATACGTAACGCACGCCCTTGTGCATGTATGAACACAGACATACGTACAATAATAGGAAAATGGTTAACCTTGAAGTGAGCTGTCACCAATTTACATTAGATAGCCCCTGTTAGTAGAAGAAATGGGATGAACCCCCGGCTGAAGATCACCTATGGACGTTGTCATACATCAGCTGGGAAAGACATGCATAATTCAATCTCTATCTTCTCTTTCCCTCTATCTCTATTTCTTCTCTCTCTCGGTTAGCCCCATGCGGAGGGGATCTGAAGGCTCCCAGCGGGATCATCCTCTCCCCTGGCTGGCCAGAACTCTATAAAGAGGCCCTTAACTGTGAATGGATCATTGAGGCTCCTCCAGGCTACCCCATCAAGATCATCTTCGACAAGTGAGTCACCCTGATAGCAACCGCTGTCGCGTCACTCTTTTAAAAAAAAATTCCTTCTGAATAAACTTGGGCTTTTCTTGCTTTTATCTTCATGGTTTCAACGTGTTCACATTTATCTCTCTGCTTTCTATTGCTAAAATATCCTCCTCTGTCCCTCTGTCTTTTCTTTCTGATGGGATGCAGGCGATCTAATGTATATCAACATACACCCCCAACTAAGCTAACATCATGTTTTATTTAGTAATGCTCATAAATGGGAATTTGATCCTTTCATTTGATACCCCCCTCCCTGAAGATCCACATACATCCTTACAGTTACACACACACATACACACACAGAAACTGCACCAGACCTGCAATTTTCTAAATGTACATGCATATGTAAGTGGAGATGATCTGTCAAGGAGAACTGGAGAGATGGGAGAGAAGGTAATTTGTCCTGATGTTTGAGAGAGAGAGAGAGAGAGAGAGAGTGAGAGAGTTAGACATACAGTCGTAGGATCAAACGGTACATTAGTGTTTCACTGAGGCTCATCCTTGCGAGCCCATCTCATCCTCGTCCCTGTCACAATAGCACGCCATGCAAAATGAATACAACATAAATGTTTGTTGCTCTTTAATTTTTATGTAACATCAATAAAATATCACAAACCGCTTCATTTAGATGACATGGTTCTGAAACTAAGCAATTTATTCATGGCTTTGAAGATGAAGTGGCTCTGGCAACAAAGACGGAAACACACAACAAGCATGCACACGCGCACACACACAGAGTTCACAGATGCACTCACCCAAGCGTGCCAAATGTCTCAGGATTTTCTGAAACTCACCATTTGCAAATTGGAAATAATAAAATGTAACCCTCCCGTTTTCAGAATGTTAGTTAAAATCAATACTGTTCACCCAGCCCCACCACTGAAGCTGATGACAGTTAACCATGACACAAGACATTTTATAGACTGCAAAAGCATAAGAAAGCCTTGTTCAACGTATTTCTCTGTTCTCAGGTTCCGCACTGAAGTCAACTATGATGTCCTTGAGGTGCGCGATGGCCGCTTTCCATCTTCACCTCTAATTGGTAGTTACCAGGGCACCCAGGTTCCACAGTTCCTCATCAGCACCTCCAACTTCCTGTTTCTCCTCTTCTCGACTGACAAGAGCCACTCTGACATCGGCTTCCGCATACGTTACGAAAGTAAGGGCTTCGATCTTGTGAATACACAAAGACAAATTTACACCCAAAGATAGAGCATAGATTTACTGTTAAGGGAGAGCTTGTTTACCAGCGGTTCACAAAGCCTAATAGAAATTAATCTATTACAGACCTATTCAGTCTTGGTTGTAAATACAATCTCTGCAGGCTCTCAATTTCACCATGAAGCCATTCTCATTAGAACACCTATAATTAGAAAGTAAATGGGGTGAGATTATTCTGTCAGATATCCTTGCCATTACAGACATTGCCATGCTCAAGATTCCATATACACATATCACATGTGTACACACACGCAAAATATTTTCCTACACCCAAGGCTTCACTCATGCTGTAAATTCACCCCTTAAGACAGCCCTATGCTCGTTTCTACCCGTGTGGCTCACACTGGTAGCCTTTTGCACTTTCTCTGTGGTAAATCTCTGCAAAGCTTCAATAATTCACTATGGACGTTACTTAGGCAGAAACTATGCAAGGTGGAGCGGGAAAGAGTGCTGAAACTTCTCGTTGGTTTATTCCTGTTGAAAAAGGATGCTCAAGTAAATAATATATCAGGATTGCTTTGGGAAAGCAAACTGCCTTTTAACATTTCTTTGACCTCCACTTGACCTATAGAAAATAGGATATCATCCTAATTCTTTAGATTTTCAGTATGTATGTGTCTGTGTCATTGATCATGTGTCTTTTTGTGTCCTTCCTCTTTAGCTCTGCAGTTACAGTCAGATCACTGCGTGGACCCCGGTATACCTGTCAACGGACAGCGACACGGCAATGACTTCTATGTGGGCGCTTTGGTGACATTTAGCTGTGAGGCAGGGTACACACTTAGTGACACGGAGCCATTAGAATGTGAACCCAATTTTCAGTGGAGCCGCCCCCTGCCTAGCTGTGATGGTACGTTCCATAATATTGAGCTAGAAATTAATAGTTTCCTGCCAGATTTCCTCTTATTCATAAATGGAATTAAAGCTAAATTCATTGTTGTACGTTGCTCCAGACGAAACATGAGAAATCGTTTTGAGCACTTTGCTTCATATTGCATCACATTTAGATTGCTATATATTCCTGAGTTATTATAAAATCCATATAAGATGATAACGTTTCTTTCAACGACTCTTATTTTAGACTTTAAAAGTTTCTGCCTCATTTCATCATAAATGTTTTATATGTACGGTGGTGATCTTACCCTTTGATGTTTCCCTTTTTCCTCATCTGTAAATGCTTTTATATTTAAGGATAGTATTGATTTCTGCCCTCTCTGTAATGATATTGATGATACCGCTCTCTCCTTTTTATGCTGTCTTGAAGGGCACCTCTTGTAAAATGCATTTTACCGCATTGTAAATGCTCAGACAAGTTTTGCCATTTTTGGGGGGAAAATTTATCTTTGTCTTCATCCAGTCTGTTTTGCCTCTCTGCTCTCCTTTCATTTCTCTCCTTCGTCCATCTCCCGCTGTGTCTATTTGCCCTGTGTCGCCAGCATTGTGCGGAGGTTATATCCAGGGCAACTTTGGTACCATCCTGTCACCTGGCTTCCCAGACTTTTACCCGCACAACCTGAACTGCACATGGATAATCGAGACCTCCCATGGCAAAGGTTAGCAGAGAAATTCAGTGTCAACACATGCAGCAGTCAAATTCAATTTCCCTTACAATGTCATTTCCCCCTACTGAGTGGCCTTTTTATTTTGCCGAACAAGCTGTCTTTGTAAGTCTGCAGCACTGAGAGGCTGGCCTAGGGCTACAGTGCTACGGGACGACTCTCCACTCATGTCACCTTTGGTAGAGCGCTCACATCCAATTGACACAGCCTTATTTGCAGATGCTCTCTGTGTGGTTGTAATGTCTTTGATAGTAGGGGAGGAAGACAGGGAATTGATGCTGTATGCATTGTGAAACAGAGAATATTTTACTTCACAGAAACCTCTAGGCCTGTTTCGGGTCACTATAAGATGTAGACATGTAATTAGTTTTAGTCCTTGCTTAATTGCAAATTCCAGCTTGCAGGAATGCCTTTTTTGAAGATTATAATAATGGGAAAACTAAGACTTCCAACTGACTTGTGCGATGATCAAAAATATAGAAAAGATCAGATCTTCTTTCCTCTTTTATCCAGGTGTCCAGTTCACCTTCCACACCTTCCACCTTGAGAGCCCTCATGACCATTTGTTGGTGACAGAGAACGGTAGCTTCTCTCAGCCCCTGTGGAAACTGACAGGCTCTACACTGCCTCCGCCTCTAAGCGCAGGGCTGTTTGGAAACTACACAGCTCAGATCCGCTTCCTCTCTGATTTCTCTGTTTCCTACGAGGGATTCAACATCACTTTCTCAGGTTTGAATTCGAACTATGGAGAGACGAAAAGAGGGACATCTGAAAGTGCTATTCACAGTACTGAGCCATAAATGAGCAAATCATTTAAAATAGGCCGGGAATAAAATGATGGGAAAAGGAAAAGAAGGGTTACAACATTAAGCACTTACGTTTCATGTTGAGAATGGACTCCTCAGGCTCCTGAGTATGATCAGAGACTTCTAATAATAAGAGTCAGTTTCAATAGGTAATTGACACAAACAACGATGCTTGCTTAAGGGGAGGCCACCATTTGACAAGAAGCAAATAATAATCTAGTATGTGTCCTAGAACTATGTAATTACAGCAACTCAAGAGTGAATAATGAAATGGTTAACATAAAAATAATTGATCAATCTTAAATGAATCAATTAGGATAGAGCACAGATGGCCTTTTACCTACTAAGAGCATCATTTCACATGTTTTTGCTCTCAAATCCTTCGATTTGAGCACTATGACAGAGTAAAAGGAATATTAAAACATAATACTATCACTGAAAGCTTGAAATGCCAAATACCACATGTGTTAAAAAATATGTAGCTTTACAGGGAGGATGAAAAGCTATGGCTTAATGGATGGAGGCCTTAATGTTGAGATACAATACTTGGAATGGACCCTCAAAGGCACATGGTGCTTTATTCATTTTAATAAATTGCAAAAAATTACATTAAGTCTTATGTTGTTTATACGTGATCTGTGAATATTTAATTCATGTAAGCAAGTTTTACCTTCCTGTTTATCAGTGGGAATACATTCTCAACCTTTCAAAGCAGAACCAGAAGTCTTAATCACTTCAATTAACACTTTCTCATATTCAAACATCAAAAGACATGGTATTAAATGTGATGTTATCTTCTACAAAAAAGAAAAAAAACAGCTACAACAAAACAATGGATGTACTAATGCATCTTTAAACACAGTATGTTTACACCTTATTCTGTCTCTGTTTTTCCAGAGTATGATTTGGAGCCATGCGAGGATCCTGGAATCCCTCCCTACAGTACCAGAAAAGGCCTGCAGTACGGAGTGGGCGACGCTCTCATTTTCTCCTGTTTCCCGGGTTACCGACTGGAGGGTCCGGCGAGGGTGATTTGCTTAGGGGGCAGGAGGCGGGTGTGGAGCTCCCCTCTGCCAAGGTGTGTTGGTAGGTGGTCACATGCTTTATTTTGGCTTTTGTCTCTCCCCCTCTACCCTCCTCATCATGCCATGTTGCCACACTAGCCTTTTCCCACACACCCACCCATTAAGAAATGTACAAAACTGTCAGTCACGTCGGAAGACGAGGCCTTTCCCTTTCAATTCTCCTCCTTATCGTCTCTCCATCCACCCACGTTATGTCTCTTCATTGGACAGCTTCCCAGAAACAGCCTTTTTGACTTTGTCCAAATTATATAGAGCAGCAGCTCTAATGAGGATGACATTAAAGAGCTGAAATATGTTAATTATTGATGTTGCTTGTTGCTAATGGCTGTGAAACATGACGAACCAAACTGCAGAGATTTGGGTCAGTATGTTGATTCTATGATGCACCAAACCTTAACAGCTGCGCTACTATTTGGATATGAAAAACAACTGTATCCTAATGGTCCTAATGATAGATTTGACGCAAACCATGACAAGGATGGCTAGTTTCAGTATATCCAAAATACTGTTGAACCGTAACTGGAAAAGGGAACCAACTGTGAACTTCTTGCATTACTTTTATCACTTGCACACTTTCTTTGTTTTCCAAACATAGAAGAAATCTATAACTGTGAATATTTTTACACTCTATTGGAACTAAGTAATTACAGTTTACTACATACAGTTTACTACAAGTTGGTGAAGTTTTGGGTGTTCAGGCATGTGTAAAGTAGGTCAAACTGTGTCCTGTTACCATTTACCCGACTGCCTCCTTTGCTCCTGTTCTTATTGCATATTTATCTGTAGGAATAAAGATGTTTTTTGTTGTTTCCTGGTCTTTTTTACATCTAAATTAATAAAAAGTTGACAGTGATGACACAGTGTATTATATTTCACACTGACAATCATATTCAGCCTTATTTGAAAAATAAAATAGATACTTGTACATGTACAGTCCCATCACCCACCTCATCCTACCTTACTCCATTCATAAGGTTAACATTCTGGGTACATTTGTGGTCATTTAAATTATGGCAGATAGTTTTCTATAGAAAACAGCAGCCCTTTTTCTTTTTTTTTTACACTTTCCCTGATTTGATTCAGAAAAAAGCAATTTTCGAAGGGACCTGAAATTACTGTTAATCATATTCAGTTTGCATTGTGATTATGATGATGTGCAACTCAACATTCAGGTATAGTCACTGACCACATTCCCCTCCCCATCAGCTCTCCCATCTCCCTGTGCATGACAGCATGAATAAATACACTCTGAGTTTCAAGCATATAGCGATTGACATGTCCTCTGCTCTTTCCAACACCACCACCACCACCTTCTCCTCTCTTTCCCTCTCTCTCTCTCTCTCTCTCTCTCTCTCTCTCTCTCTCTCTCTGTCTCTTTTTTTCTCTCTCTGTCTGTCTCTCTGCTCCCTCTGTTTTTCTCTAGCTGAATGCGGCTCATCCGTGACCGGCATGCAAGGGGTGCTGCTCTCGCCCAACTACCCTGGTTACTACGGCAACAACCACGAGTGTATCTACTCCATCCAGACGCAGCCTGGCAAAGGCATCCAGCTTCGAGCACGGGACTTCAGACTGGAGGAGGATGACATGCTTAAAGTAAGGGGGTTGGGGCACGGGGAGTTGTACCCTCTCCTATGTGTGCCTTGTTAGCATACCTGTGTGTGTGCAGACCTGATCGTCTCAATTCAGATGACTCCTCACACTCCCCTCTGTCCTTTTCAGGTCTTTGATGGCAGCAGTAATAAGGCTCGTCTGCTGGGGGTGTTTACAGGCAACGAGCTGCTAGACACAACCCTGAACTCCACCTCCAGCTCCATGTGGCTGGAGTTCATCAGCAATGCGGATAACACCAGTAAAGGCTTTGAACTGCACTTTATTAGTGAGTAACACTCTCACACACAAACACACCTTTCTTTACATTTGATATTCACATTTACATATACACATATGTTTATTTGCTTGTATCTCATTTTCCAACCCTCCTTATTGCTTCTGCCACATAAATATAACGTTCGTGCTTTCTTCTTCAACACACTCCTAATCCACGTACTTACACTCACTGTCTCTCCAAGGTTTTGAGCTGGTGAAATGTGAGGATCCAGGTGTTCCCCAGTTCGGCTACAAGCGGGAGGACAAGGGTCATTTTGCAGGGAGCACCGTGTCGTATAGCTGCGACCCAGGCTACACCCTGAAAGGCCCCGAGGCGCTCACCTGCCTGAGGGGGGAAAGGAGGGCATGGGACAGCCCCCTCCCACTCTGTGTTGGTGAGTCAGGTGCTCCTTGAATGGGTTGCAGAGATTAAGTGTGTCCTTGCTATTGGCAAAAAAACCTCTTTCTGAGTATCGCATTCATACATATATAATTATGTTGTCATCATAATCAAAAACAATTAATCTAAATGTATTAACAAATATGTTTTGTATGAAAAGTCTTAATGTGCAGTCTAACTAGTAGTTACCCAATAAAATGTTATATTATGTAATGTTATGCTATTCTGTACTATCCTGCCTTACATCACAGTGTAGTATTCCCTTTCTTTACATCACTATTTGTCGCATTACGCTGTGTTAGGTTCCTCTACAACTGTGTAAAATAGCACTGTGTTGTATTGCATTATGTTACAGTATTTATCAGTGATTGCTTTACTGTTTTGCTCGCTCTTAATCCGAAGCAGTTTTAGTTTTTTTTAACTGAACTACAATGTCTGACCTAGTTCCTCATCCTAATAACAATGTGCATATGCTGGTGCAGGTTTAGTAAAAGCTCTGTGGTTTGTTTCAGCTCTCCTATTTTGGGGCGCTTCCCTAGCACCTTATTCAATGCATTATCTCGTTGAAAATGACTGTGGTCTATTTAGCTCCACATATTCACATTGCATCATGGTTGCAAATTCCCCTATTCCAAATTATTTTTTCTCAAATAAGACTGTCCCCATATCAACAGCACACTAAGCACATAGGCAGGTTTTTAACCCCTAGCCGTCTGAGGCGAGAACACTTTCACAATCAGTTGTATGAAATTATTATATTATCTGATGATATTATTGGAAGAGTTCACTTGCAGTTCACCTGTCATTTGTTGCCAGCTGACAAAAACATGGTGTGTGGTATTATTTTCAAAACTATTAAACTGACACACATACCACCTATATGGTGTCATGATAACAAACCCCAGAGCAATTTTTTGGATCTTCTCCTGGGCGACATTTTGACAGAGTCTCTCAGAAACCAGCCAGAAGCTCAGTGAGGAAAACAGGCACGATGGTGTTCTTTGACATCAGCCAAGGTGATTAGAATAATATTGCTTGGCTCCCGTTTCAACCCAAACTGACAGGTAATTTCATGTCTGGGTACAAACAACATTCAGCATACTGTATATCTCTGAACACGTTTGTCCTCCCCATGCCCCTTTCACTGCAGATGATAGCCTAACAGCCAGAGTGAATTTCGGAGCAGATGAGGGACTGCTTCTGCTTGTAATGGTGGGATTATTTCTAGCAGCGAGGACACACTGAACACAGATGAGATGGACATGGCGAGCAGGGGAAGAATGAAATCGGGTTGAAAACAGTAGAGAGAGTTCATATCCTGAAAGTCACAGAAGAGGAAAGTTGCAAGGTTGAATCCCTGAGCAGCTCTGGGTTGGACACTGGGTTGTTAACAGGGTTGCATTTAATATTACTGTGCACGTCCATGTTCTTTTTATAGATAACCACACATTTATATATCACTGTCTAACTGACAGAACATAGTTTCTGTGTGACGCTTAAGTAAAATGTTGACTTTGACCTTGATTTGTAGGGTGTCCCTTAGATGTTTTGTTTCCATATATTTAAAACACATCTTACATTTATAAACTACTTTAAGAAGAGAGTGAGACAGAAAGAGAGGGAGAACCTATGTTGATTTTAGAAATATGTATATGGGGACAAAGATTGAAACTCTACCCCTTCAAGCTGAGGGAGTTAAATTGCCATGGCAGCACTGACCAGTAGTTTCTGGGGTCATAAGGCTTAGAGAAAAGAAATAGCTTTGTCTTACTGTGATAGATCACTGTCTTCTCTTTTCATTTCATGAAACAGCAAGTTTTCTTCAACAAGAAAAGCATAACAGAGGGGAAAAAGCTTGAAGAGAGACTAAAACCTCAGCAAGAGTGCAAAGATTAATATGCTCACACTTTTTTTTTTTTGCATTTTACCTTCCAAGACAGTAAAAGCAAAAATAACAATTGAATCTTTCAAGCATTTCTTTATATATATACTCTGTTTTCAGTATGTGTGTGTATGAGTGCATGCACAGCAAAAATGTTAAGAAGCCAACTCTGGTGATTATTGCTTTTTAAATGTATAATGTATGAGGGTTCAGAGTTTGAGAGAGCGAGACAACGAGAGACACAAAGAAAAAAATTATTTCCAAACATGAGGAAAGGCCTGTTTGTCAAATGGAAGGTGACAAAATGTTTATATCAGATGTGTATGGAGAAACTCCAGCCTGTCCCTGTCTGGTGCTCTGTTTCCCTTTGTGTGTGTGTGTACTAAGTTATGTTAATTTAGTTCCTTAGCTGTTAGTTACTTCCTTCTTGCCAAGTGTCTCTGATTGTGTGTGTCTGCCATCGTTGCTGTATTTCAGTACAGGAACAGTACTACTTGCCACAGATGGATTTCACAATCATCACCATCACCATCAGTATGATTCCTCCATTTTTCTCCCGTTTGAAGGATCTATTTTCCTCTCAGGAGAAGGGAAAAAAACAAGAACACTTTTACCCTCCTCTTGTCAGCTGAGATGACCTCAAAAATTTGAACAAAAAACACTTCAGGTCTGATGTTGTTGGAGAACACTTTTGTTTTTTTCATTCACTTTTTGGATAAGGGTAGGAGGTAGTAATTGAAGGGGGGCTGAAAATTGCTTTTCAGTCACAACGCGTTTCTGATGGCAATTCATTACTTTTAAGGCAGGAAAGAAACTCCGTTCTTCCCACTGTTCTTGACAAAATGTTTTGGCCTTTTGCTTTGTAGTTTCATTGATGCATGTTTGTGTTATTGTCGATCCTTTTGAAAGACTGAGCTTATGTTTTAGGGGAGGGCTTATTGAACCTTGATATGATACCAGAAGCATCATATTGTCTACTACCACTACTACTACAAACGCACCCTGAGCACATTCCTCTGATGAATAAGTGATTCATGACAAGTCCTCCACACTCGAAATGATTTATTAACTACCATGTTGCCCAATAGGTGCTAATATCAACAATACTTCCATTATGGCAACTGTGTATCTGTTCTACACATATCTTTTCTGATTGATACCTGAAAATATACTTAAATATTTAGCCATATCAGTCACAATGTCTTCTTTTAAGAGTTTCACTGAACTCAAGTCTAATATATTAAATGTTGTGTTGCTCAGTTCAACAAGTCCATCAACTCTCACTCGCAACAGGATGAGGTCATTGGTTGGGATGGCGTATTGCCTCCGCTGAGCCAAAGAGATGCACATAGAGTATATTGAGTTGGCTGCTCTCCCTCCTATCATTCAAATTGCAAACCAGATGATGAAGCACATCACATTTGAGCATGCCACTGCTATGTCAAATAATTAATAATGATGAGAGGAAACTGATGCACTTTACTGGAAGTGGGATGATGCAGTTTCTGGTTTGTTAAGTATGTTAACCTTGCTGTTTTCTTTTATTAATTTGACTTTCAAACATTGATGAGCTTGTACTTATGTTGTACTTTTTTTTTTTTTACCCCCACTCATTGTTCACCTCTTTAATTTCTCTGTCTTTCTGTTTTCCCTCCTCTTTCCAGCGGAGTGCGGGGGCAGCATCAAGGATGAGCCCTCTGGTCGTATCCTGTCTCCGGGCTACCCAGCTCCATATGAGCACAACTTGCACTGTATGTGGACCGTTGAGGCCGCTCCTGGAAGCACTATCAGGTCTGAACAACACACGATGTTTCCTTTTTTCTGTGCTTTCTAGTTTTCTGATTACATTGTTCTTTTCCAGACTTTCTTTCAATCTACCACCTTTCAATATACTTCCAATTTAGCCACCCTTTTTGCAGTGTTATTCATCACTTTCACAGGCTGCTGTGTAATCAATCTTCACTGAGCTGCTATTGGCCAATAGTTGAGTTACTTCTGGGTGAGGGGAAATACCACCTCAGAGCCTCCAGGTTTAGACTACACCAAAGAAAGTCAAGTGTGTCAATTTTGGCTTTTATATGTATGTATGTTATTTGCTTTATTTTACAGAATTTGTTGAAATGTAAGCAAGCAAAATCCTGCAAGGCTGTTTTTATTAATCTTTCTAGAAAATTGAAACAACTTAAGGTTATTCTTTAACACTACATTTATTTCCTATATATATATTTTTTTCTCCATAAATTGTCTATCCTTCTTGATGGCCTGTTATTGTCAAGCAGCTGATCGGGTTCAGGGTTGTAGTGGCAGCAGGACCACCATGTCCTGCAGCCCATCCTTCAGGATCCCCAGATGTTTGTCGAATGTGTTCTTTGGCTGCCCCAGGGTGTCAGTTGCTACGGGGTTATTCTGTGAAGACACGCTTGGGATCATTAGCAGGTGGCACAGCTTGAAAATGATGACATTTTCTTTACTTTGAATTTGAATCTGACTCAAGTAATGGAAGACTGCTAATAATTTGCTTCATACTTCAGCTTTCACCACCTACAGCTATCTCTGCATGCATTCATGCGTGCAGACTTGTTTATTCATACATATATAAACTATAATAGTACATTCATTCATCTATGCAAATATTTGTTTGTGGATGTGCTCCTGTAGTTTTCAGTGGGGAGAACAAAGACGTATGGCCATTACAGCACCCTTATTTTGTCAGCAATACTATATTTTGCATGAAATGCAGCGTATGCAAATTGCCAATTATTTCATTAGATGGTATAATTGTGCTGTTAATGAAACAACTTTCTTTTCTTAACCTCACTAGATCCAATCCAACAATCCAAACCCTAGCTGTTAACGTTACCCTTGCCCTTCAAAAAACATTCGTAGTGTAAAGTTTTGCTGAATTCTTTAAACCAAAGTGCAGTAGCACAAGTGCATATTATATGGTATCTTTGTGAGTACTGAAGCCTTAAGCATTGTGGTTTTAGTGTTATTCTCTATCCATTAAGCTACTAAGGAATGCCGGCATTTTAAGATCAGTGTCGGTCATATATCAGAATGCTTATGATGGCTTCTATGTTTGGCAGCATTGAAATTGAGGGCCATTAAGCCACAGGCATGGAACAAGCAAAGTGCATGGGATGTATTCAGAATATTAACTGTGTTTATGCTCTGTCATGAAGCAGCAGTGTAAACTAATGTAATAATCTTATAAGCCTACTTGAAGGAACAGTGCTCTTCAAGGAGAATACTGTTAAATCCATAAGTACATGTGTAGATGAAGGAACATGTGGAAGAGGCAGAGAACACAATAGATGATTTAAGTAGGAGGGCTATAATCTCTCTCTTCTTCTAAATTGGATTAACTTTTCCTAGAGGATCACATGCTTATCATAGTGGAACATTTATGTATATACTATACTATATCATACTATACTATACTATATACCGTTGCTCTGTACGCCAGGATATTGGATTTTAAAGCGACATTATGTAACTATTTAACCTTAAAATAACAGCATTAAAATCATTTTGATGGCATACTGACTTGTAGTAATGTGAATGGTGCCTTTTTCATTCCCACTTGGCGCCCTGTACGCCTGTCCTTGCACAATGTAACTTTAGTTGAATCTCCTGCGAGAAGTGCTTTACACCTTATGGCGCTAAATAACACACCGCCAACGATGTCACATATTTTGTTGAAACTGGGTAATATTTTATGAAGATTCCTCCGTCTGTTTTCTGATGTTTTCTGATGGACAGAAAGTTTTTATGTGTTGCTAAAGTAACTTAACCACTAAATGTAGCTGCTGTGAACTAGTTAGCTCAGATAGCCGTGCTACCCAGAATGGAAGCCTGGAGGACTGGGGAGCTTTGGACCGCTGGGAGGAAGAGGTTTTCATGCTCAGGGCAAGGGAAGCCAACAGGGAAACCTGCTGGGAAGCGCCTCCAGAATGGGCAACAGAATAAACCTGGCTCAGCAAGAAAACGAAGAGGACATTGAGGGAGGAATCTGTGAAGAAAACAAGTGAGAGTGATGGAGCAAGAGGCCACCAGAAAAGAGTAAATCTCGGACTGGCTTTTAGTCGTTGGCGAGAACTTTGCAAAATTAAAGGCTGCAAGATAGACGTCGAGTAGCATTCTTGCTGTCAGACTAGTAAGAGGTATTAGCTGGCTTGCTATGTCTTGTGTTGTTGCACTTACTTGATACTTAGCTGTGTTAGCAAAGTTGTCAACTCACTGGTTTTGTAATAATCATAACAAATGCACATCTACAGTTGTCCATAGTTACCACATTGGTATAAGTAAATTGCACTCTGAAACTGTAGTGGCACCAAATAGAAAAAAATATCAATTCTTGCATAATGTTGTTTAAAATGAAAGGACTATAAGGTAAAGATGATGACTGTTCGCTTTAATTTTAGGTTGTTTACATTCACATCAGATGAGTTAAATAGGAGTTGCAGCACTTAAATACTTTCTGTGAACACATCTCACCAATTTTAGGGGACATGAAGTATTTTTACTATTCAGTATAAACTTAAATAAAGGTACTCATATTTAATATTTAGGTTAGGTCTACTGACCTCACTAGAAGATTTGCATCTACCCTGGTAATACTTTGTCAGGCCAGTATTTACTTGGCACTCCCAGGCACTTTTTACCTTCGGTTTCATCATTGTTTCATTTCTAATCAAGCATGCTGGTGTAAATCCAAAACAAATAAATACATGTCCTAATACTTTCAGACTGCACCATATATATTTTTTTGTTTACTGCACCATATCATTTAGCTTAATATAGTAGAGTTCTATGCAGTTGTTTGCATGGATCTATTTGTGAGAACATGCTGTCCCATAACTTGCACATCTGACATTCCTAGGTCCCTCATGATTGCTAGTTTAGGTTCATTAGTGCCTTCACTACCTCTTGGTCCCTGACATTCCTCTGCAAGGTATGCTCCATATCCATGCCTTTGATCCTACCCACGCAATTCATTATTAAGAAGAATTTGCAATGCATTAGCCCAGGGATTCCTTGTATATCAAATGGTGTAGCTGAAGGTAGCACACTAATCAAACCTTACAGAATTCAGGAGAGAGGCCAAGAGTTGGGCCGAGTGACAGCAGACATTTAAAAAGCCTATGGACTGGTTTGCTGAGAGATATTGATGGGAAGGGCATATAGGTGGGAGGCAGAGAGTGGAATACAGACATAAAGAGATGATAACAATGTAAAAGGAATAGAGATGATAAGGGAGGCAATGAGCCATTCCACTGATGGAACATTCAGTGGTTACTGCTACAGAGACCAAAGGAGGGATCCAGGCCACATGCTACACTGAACAATGAAGCCATATGTATTCATCTGAAAATTGGTATTTAGTATTTAGCAAGAAGCATGCTCTCTAATTGGAGAGCTCATTGTAAAACATGATGCACTGTGTGGGTTACAGTGCTAAATGACAGTCTTGACTGTTGGTCACAAGGCATCAATGGGACTAACACAGTTTGTGAAGAGCAGGCAATTGTAATTAGGCCCATTGTTGAACTCTGTCTATAGTAGAGTGTGGCTTTGGCTTTTTCTTATGGTTTCTTCTATCGTGTCTTTCTCTTTCACACATTATTATATTATGTATGCATTTATTCAAAAAAGGGACAATGGACATTAATTAACACAAGGACTTAAATCCACTATGTAAATTTGCCAGATTTAGCCATACAGGCTAATTTTCATCTGCAGTCCCTGGCAGGTTGATGGCATATCAGAAACATTCAAAGGAAACGTAAAAAATAAAAACTAATATAAAATAAAAAACTATCTGATACAGGTCAGAATCTACAGTAAAACCAAATTCTCTGTGCTAATCCAGTGATTTTGGACAGTAAAGTTGATCCCTCTTGAGAGTATCCAAATCCCAAGTAAAGCACAATTGGTGCTGTCATAGTGTCTTAGTAGTTGTTCCATTGTTCACTGTCTATGGAGTAGCACCAGGATTTGTCTTTAGATAAGATCGTCAGTACTGTCAGTAGTGTTCAGCTTAAGGAGAGACTTAGTTCAAATATGATGAAATCTGAGCGCTTAAGTATTTATTTTTTTAATAGCATTTTGTGTGTAAATTCTTTTTAGAATGGATTTCTCCTTTAAGGAGCCACATATTTTAAATGTAATGCATCAACATTTGTCATGCTCTATCACAGAAATAGTGCCCTGAGTTTCAAATGAATATGCACATACATTTTACTGGGTTTGCACAGCCCAAAACAACATTTCATATATAATGTATTTCTAGGTTGTTGGTGTAGGTGTGCTTCTTGAGTTTTGAACTATTCAAAATAGGGAAGTGAAGTTGTATTGGCTGTGTGTACTTTTTAAGGAGGGATTTTAAGAATATGGAGTTTGGTTTTTGGTACAGGGTTGAGTGATAAGGAATGAATGTGATAAATGGATGATGCATGCCGAGGATGTGTGCGTGTGTATTTTAACCTCTACCTTTATATCACTGATTTATTTCCCAATTTCACACCTTTTCCTGCATAAAACTACTTGTAACTCTTCTTTTATCCGTGTGATAACACTGCTTATGTGTTATTACATCATGTGCCTTGCAGTAAATGAAATTGGACAAAGAATTTTTTTTTTTACCACATTTCAGCTCAAGGTGTCAAGACGTTCTGATTGTGCTGCTTGGCGTCTTTTTCAAGCCTCTGGTATGGATGTTTCTCAACCTGGAAGGATGATCCCACAGGGAGAGTTCCACAGAGGCCACATCCACACATATTGATGAGGGT